CCTGGGGTGCTTCAGGATCTGGGCCAGGTCCAGCCGCTCTGAGGGATGGTACCTAAGAAGCTTGGAGATCAAGTCCTGGGCTCCCAAGGGCACCGAATTCGGAAACCTAAAATCCACCTAATGAGGCCGGGGAAGGAGGAGGGGAATCCAGTTAATCTCTTTAGTTAATTTCTCCTTGTTCTTTCTGTCAGTCTCTTCAGGGCACCCTTCTGGCTACAGCGATCATGGCTAGCGAGCACTGAGGAGCGCCTGTTCTCACCTTGAGGATGCGTTTGTAAGTCTCGTTGTGGCTGCTGCTTTCAAAGGGTGGCTGTCCCACCAGCAGCTCGTAGCAGAGCACCCCAATACACCACAGATCCACCTTCTCGTTATACGTCCTCCCTTCAATCATTTCTGGGGGCAAGTAGTCCAGAGTCCCGCACATTGTCTTTCTCCTAGAGCAGGAAGGGCACAGAGGGAGCACGGTGCATAGGGGCTCAGAATGAGGGGAATCTTCCCTGTCCAGGGAAGTGGGAGGGGCTAGGGACATCCTGACGAGGCCCCTGTCCCAAGCAGGGGGTTTAGGAAACACCAACTGTTAACATGGATCAGAGGGGCCCGTGGGAGGTGACTCAGTGAGTAAAAGCTCTTGCAGCAGCGAAAGCTCCGAGGACCTGAGTTCTAGCTCCACGATCCACTTAAAGCTGGACCAGAATCTATAGTCTCAGGGCTCCCTACAGTGACGATGGGAGGCAGAGAATTCCTGGAAACCCCTAGGCCAGTAGGCTGGCTAGCTGACTGCGAGCAGCAAACAAGACACCCTGTCTCAAATAAGGTAGAAGGCTGAGCGTTGGTGGCCCACGCCTTTAATCTCAGCACTCGGGAGGCAGAGGCAGGAGGATCTCTGTGAGTTCAAGGCCAGCCTGGTCTCCAGAGCCAGTGCCAGGATAAGCTCCAAAGCTACACAGAGAAGACCCGCCTCGAAAAACAAAAACAAAAAAACAATCAAATAAGGTAGAAGGTAAAGATTCACACCTGAGGTAGTCCTGATATGCCCCCTCCCCCACCCCCCATACACAACAGGACATTCCTGGAATGCTTGCTAATTTGACACAGAATCTTATTAGCAAAGATAAACACTAATAAAGACCAGAAAAGAAAAGCTCTGGAGGGGCCTTTTTTGTGAGTAAACAATCCCCACCACGACCACACACACACACACACACACACACACACAGGACATTTATTGCTCTCCACTTTATTTCATTCAGGCAAGGTCCCTCACTGAACCTAAACCGGCCATTTCTGCCAGGCAGTCTGGCCAGCAGGCTTCCAGGATCTGCCTGTTTCCACCCTTAATTCTGTGTTTACAAAGGAAGGGCTTTCCATCTGCAAATGCATTTTAAATGTATGCCCTTGGAAAATATGGTGTTCTAATTAATACCTAATAGGTGTGAGATGAATTCACCTAGGAGACCTCCTCCCACCTGACCTACCTGAGAGAGGGGGTATGCACAGACCAACCAAAGTCTGCGATCTTTACTTCACCCCTGAGCCCCAGCAGGAGATTCTCTGGCTTGATGTCCCTGTGAATCACCTTCTTCTCGTGACAGTAGGTCAGGGCATCTGCCAACTCCTCTATTATCTGCAGGAATAAAAGCAGTCTGTCAGGAGAAAGACTTTCTCGGCCTCCCTGTGAGGCAGAACAGGCATTTTGCATTTTAAGATTGCAATCTCATTTCCTGACCGGTAATTCCAACGTTTCTCTGTGTTTATACACATGGATGGTATGTGGAGCCTACAGGACAGTCCTCACTGTGGCTCCTTATTATTGTCCATACGCCTTGTTTTTGTTTGTTTTGTTTTTTCAAGACAGTGTTTCCCAGACAGCTTTGGAGGCTGTCTGGAACTCCCTCTGTAGACCAGGCTGGCCTCAAATTCAGAGATCCACTTGCCTCTGCCTCCCAAGTGTGGGGATTAAAGGTGTGAGCCACCACCACCCACTCAGTAATTTTTTTTTTTTTTTTTGAGACAGGCTTTCACTATGTAACTCTACTGTACTGGCCTGGAACTTGGTATGAACCAGGCTCACCTTGAACTCCTGATCCTTCTGCCTCAGCCTTCCAGGAGCTGGAATTATAGGCCTGCAAAACTCCATCCAGCTAACCAGCCAATATTATGAGTATGGTATCCTTTTCCGCATGACAGAGTCGGCTTTTTTTTATATGCTCTTTTTTTAAAAAAGATTTTTATTTATTTATTATGTATACAACAGTCTGCTTCCGTGTCTATCTGCACACCAGAAGAAGGTACCAGATCTCTTAACGGATGGTTGTGAGCCACCATGTGGTTGCTGGGAATTGAACTCAGGACCCTTGGAAGAGCAGTCGGTGCTCTTAACCTCTGAGCCATCTCTCCAGCCCTTATATGCTATTCTTATTATATTTATTTATTTATTTTTTTTGTGTGGCCCTGTGTGTGTGAGTGCATGCCCAGCTTCCCACGACTACCTTCTGGATTTGTTCTCTCCTTCTACCACGTGAGTCCCAGGAGACCAAACTTAGGTGCACAGCCTAGGCAGCAAGCATCTTTGCCGGCTCAGCCAGCTTTCAAGCCTAAGTTAGAATCTGATGCTTGACATAAAAGACCCCAGGCAAGGTGCAGTAGCAGCACTCGGGTATCAGGGGATCTCCGAGTTTGAGTTTGAGGCCAGTCTGGACTACATAGAGCATTGCAGGTCAGGGTTACTGTCTTAGCTGGGATTTCTATTGCTGCAATGAAACACCAAGACCAAAGAGCAAGGTGGACCAAAAACAAAGCAAAACAACCAGAGCTTATAAACTGGGCGTTGATATCACATGTCTTTAATCCCAGCACTTGGGGAGGCAGATCTCTGAGTTCAAGGCCAGCCTGATGTACAGAGAGTGTGCCAGGATAGCCTCCAAAGCTAAACAGAGAAAAACCCTGTCTCTAAAAAACAAACAAAAAAACCCAAAGAGCAAGGTGGGGAGAAAAGGGTTTATTAGGCTTACACTTCAGCGTTGTTCATCACTGAAGAAGTCAGGACAGGAACAAAACAGGGCAGGATCCTAGAGGCAGGAGCTGATACACAGACCATGGAGAGGAGCTGCTTACTGCCTTGCTCAATCTACCTTCTTATAGAACTCAGGACCAGCAGCCCAGGGATTGCACCAACCACCATGGGCTGGGCCTGTCTCTTTCGATCACTGAGAAAATGCCTTACAGGGGGTCTCATGGAGGCATTTCCTCAGCTGAGGCTCCTTCCTCTGAAGACTCTAGCTTGTGTCAAGTTGACACTATGAACACTAATACTCTAGAACTACACTGGGCATCAAACCCAGGACCATACACATACTAGACAAGAAACCGGACCATCAAGTTACAATCTCAGCAACCCAGAAAAAAATAATTCTTAATGGAAACAGTTCATATAAAAAAAAAAAAAAAAAAAAAACTGGGTGTGGTGGCACATGCCTGTCATCCTAGCACTCAGGATGCTGCAAGTTCAAGGCCAGCTTGGGCTATATACAGGAATTCTAAGTCATGCTCGACTATCTAGAAAAACCCTTCAGGAAAAAAAAAATATAGCACCCTGACTGAGCCAGGCACAATGGTTTGTCTATAAGACTAGCACTATTGCCGGGCGGTGGTAGCACACGCCATTAATCCCAGCATTCGGGAGGCAGAGGCAGGTGGATCTCTGTGAGTTCGAAGAGCTAGTTCCAGGACAGCCTCCAGAACCAGAGAAACTCCGTCTCGTGGGGGTGGGGTGAGGTGAAAGACTAGCACTTGTGAGGCTCACCCAGGAGAATCACACATTTCAGATCAGCCGGGAGATTCTGGGGAAGTCTGAGCTAGCCTGGGCTACACAGTAAGAATTTCCCCAACTCAGGAAAAAAAAGGATCGGGGAAGTGAAAGCCAGCAAGATAGCTCAGTGGGTAGGGAAGCTTTGCTGTGCAACCCTGGTGACCCCAGTTCCCTGTAATCCACGTACAGGTGGAAAGAGAAAACAGACTCCTCCCTCCAAGCTGTCTCACGATTTCCACATGTACACTACGGCATGAATGCACCCCCCCACCACACACACACACACCCACACACACACACACACACACACAC